ATAAATCTTTCAAAGTTGTCACCATCCTATTAGAGAAAAAGGTTTATCACATTAGTATTGTAGCACTGACAAAAAAATTAACTGTTTAATTCCCAGTGGTATTGTAAATTCATCGGAAGACTAAAAAACAAAACAGTGCATGTCTCCATCACTGACCGTGGGAATAAAAAAAGATTAATGAAAAGCTAATATGGTATTACTGCATTCATATTAATTGGTCAGCCTCTATTGTTAACCTTTAGGATCAGATTGCGGTGATGAGGGTGATACTTTCTTTGACAGAAAATCCTACAAGATGCCAATATCTTATTTTATAACATGAGGGCCCTTTCAATGCATGTATGTCTTGTGGTGCAGTTTCACCCCTGGTGCACTTACAGTTAGTAAATATTTAGTTCAGGTAGTTGGTTGTCATAACTATTTATAACACCTAGAAAATTCGCCTAATCAAATTCAATAGCGCAAGCGTGCTTCATATTCCTATTGAGCACGCTGATCACGTCAATAAACTATTCGTAATTCCTCGAGTTGTTGTGAGCTTAGCAATCCTGAGCCTCCTGAGTGCACCCATAACTCAGCAATAGACAATGAAGCGTTTACCATGTGTTTTATAAGGAAATTTAAGAGGAAACGCTTGAATTTGTTAACTGATAGTAAGGAAAAGAGGTGAGTGTTGTTGTTGTTGTCATCTCCGCCAGCTGTGCGGGCTATGGCGTGAGATCATTCTTTGCAAACTTGTTTTCTCTCAATAACAATTTTCCGGTACCTAAATATGGATTTTACAATCATTTTAGAGTACACTTTCTCTCAGTTTCAGGATAAAAACCTAAGACTAACTGTGAGGAAAAAAAAATATAGTCACGTAAACATTGACACGTACTGCTTTGAGTGCGCCCTACAATAATAAGTTAACTGCTGCATTGATCGCTTTGATAATGTTATAAAACAATTAGTTCATGCTGCAGCTGTGCGTATGTCGAGATATTGAGCACGCGGGAAGTTTGGAGAGCACTCAAGAGGCTAGAGTTGCACTCGGCGCACCTCTTTCGTGCTCTCCAAACTTCCCGCATGCTCAATACCTCGACATACGCATGCTGACGCATGAACTAATTGTTAAATGATATCCACTGAAGGAAATATACAAAAAAAAAATTCCATTAAGTTTAAAATTGTATATTATATACAGGTATTTACGCACGTAGAATATTCTTACCTCCACAAAGTGTATAAACTTTTCTTGGATGTCCCATGCTTTTGGCAGAGATAGCATCACAAGAAGTGTTTGTCCCTCTGCAAGGGAAAGATAATTTATACACTGTAATTCAAAGAGCAAAATCAGAGAGTTATTCAGTTTCAAACAATTTAGTTAAAGCAATGTATATAGAGTGGAAGCTCTTGTAAGCGGACACCCTTGGGACAGGAAAAAGGTGTCCGTAACTGGAGGTGGCCGCTCACCGGAAAGTCAAAAGAGTTGAGAAAAACGGGGTTTTGTAAAAGCGGCCGTAAGTATAGAGCTGTCCGCTTACGAGAGTGTCCGTTAGGAGAGCTTCCTCTGTATGTATACATATTAAAACTACTACTAGTAGTAAGTACTGCTACTGTACTACTATAATAATTATAATAATAATATGTTTAAAGAGGATTACCATTTCAGTTATAGAAACTGCTGTCAATATGGGTCCTGTATAAAAATATATGAATAAAGAGATAAAAACATTAATTATATACGAAACTGGGATACATTACATAATTATAATCAATGAAAAAAGGTAGCCTCCTTATGAACAAAACTGCATACAATCATTAAAAAGGGTAGCCCCTTATAAAAAAAGGCCCTCTTAGTCAACTCGAGATTGACTTCTTTTTTTTTTTTTTGGACTTTATCAATAGATAACCTATCCTTAGACCTAGTGTCATAGTCATGAATATCATAACTTGGAGCTTGTCCATCCAGACAATTCTTGACAAGTTTTACGATATGTTTCTCTCTTCTCGTCTTAAGAGGGTCCCAACCTGTCTTGGCGACATAGTCTCTGGTGGGTGCCAAAAACCATGAACTCAGTCTTCTTTAAATTGAGAATCAGTTTATTTTTAGACAGCCACTCAGACAGATTAATCAGTTCCAAATTTAACTGTAACTCAATTTCCGATATTAGTGGAGCCGAGAAAAAGATAACTGTGTCATCAGCATACATCATAACTTTACAGACATCAACACAGGAAGGTAGATCATTAATATACAACGTAAATAAAACCGGACCAAGGATACTCCCTTGAGGCACTCCACTTAGGACAGCTAAAGGACTCGACAAGTCGTTATCCAGGGAAACAGCGGGAAACGGCTTGAAGTCTGTCGGATAGATAGCTTGTAAACCAATTAATCCAATTTTCTCCAAAGCCAAATCTTCTCAATTTGGATAAGAGTTCCTTGTGCGGCACAGAATCAAAGGCCTTCCTTAGATCAATAAACAATGCGCCTGTTAACTTTCCCGACTCTGCACTTCTTCTTATCTCATCGGTGAAATAGAGCACAGTACTCTCCGTTGAATGGTGTTGTCTAAACCCTGCCTGAAATGGACTCAAAAGATCGAGCTTCTGTAGATACCGTTGTAATTAAAATTTGACAGCTTTCTCCACAATTTTCGACGTATCCGGCAATGTGGAGATTGGTCTGTAGTTGTCCATACTTGCATGTCCACCAGACTATAAAGGAACGACACGGGCCATCTTCCAATCACATGGAACAATTCCAGTACTACTACTGACTATCGCACCTTAACCAACATGTACATCTTGGATTGCCAGTTTCTGAAGTACAGTCAATTATCCCATATGTACACTGAAGCTACCACTTCTCTCAAGTGACCATCTCCCATAATTAACCACTTTGTGGTGTATGGTTGAAGCTTATGAGAGAGTTGACTGTAATTGCTCCATGCTTCCATTCATTTACTGTGTGACCAAATAATAACTTCTCCAGGCTACTACTAAATGTTTCAAAGAACCATGTCCTAGTTCAGTCCTGATTACTGTCCCACTTACAAAAATGTCTTTACCATGTTGTGTCAACTTACCTTCACCAATTTCTTTGAAGTTTTCAACATTTTCTTCTTCCAAGACATCTTGGGCATGCTCCTCTACATAGTCACCCAACTTAGGAAGCATTTTTAACCAAGCCTCCTTGTATTGTCTTGTTTCAGTTATTAATGATGTCTCTATCATGAGCTACAAAAAGACAATAGGAAATTTATATCATGAAATATAGAACTGGGTTATTTTAAATAAAGCTTTATATTCAGTACAGTAATACATTCAGTACACAGTTGGTCAATCTCATGCAGCTGAATCACTATTACCAGTTGCCAATTCTTGAATCCTGGGTACTCCTCCAAGATCTTCTTCACCGTTCCTTTACCCTGAAGTTTACAGATCCACTTCCTTCTGTGACTGAAAGAAGTTTTTAAGAGGCTGCAAATTGTTTTAATGTCTGGCTTTTCCCTCTTCATTTCTGTTTTCAGTTTACTGCCATGGCCTTCTTCAGCAGAAGCGTTCTCCATTTCTTGGCTGGATGCAGCTTCCCTATTTTTCCCTGGCTTCTCTACTGGTTTCCGGTTGTAGTAAGCCTTTTTAAGTTGCATCAGGGTTGTGCTCTAGAGTAAGGCAAAAACAAACAAAGTGAAAATACTGTCATGACAAGCGTTATGAGAAGTACACTAGATTTTCCCATTCTGTCAATGAGGTAGTGTAGCGTGGACAGAGGATTTTGCTTAGTTATAATCCCAAACTGTCGTTCAATAAGAGTACTAAAATCTTGTTTATGATACACTAGGAAGCAAATTCATTTACATCACAGTCATTTATGGAGCACTTAACTCTAATACATTTTTAAGCGAGTACAAATACTTAAGACAGACCCCAAAACCCAAGGTGTGAAGTAATGAGGAAGTAGTGAAAGCTAAGTGGTAGTGACCTAATCATGAGTTGTAGGGATGTGCTGAGCTAAGGTTTTAGCAACATTGAATTTTGGAGTGGTGTTGAGAACTAAATAAACCATATAAGCATCTGATGACCAATCCCCTAAGAATTTAATGAACAAGGGTGAAGCAACAGCATGAAAGGCAAAAGTAGCACCTCCCCTTCTGAAGCTGTGGGGAGAATATTGTGTGGGATCCAACCCAAGATTAACTATGCAAGACTTAAGGAATTTAGCAAAATGATACCCTGTAACAGGCTTGAATCCTGTTGAGGTATGAATAGTAAATAAAGGTGCCTCAGTGTCCGCGGTTACATAGCGAAGATGACGTTTCAATGCGGAAACAGGACATAACACTGAGTGAGGGATTAATGGCAGAACAATTTTAAGGGCCCTCTGCCTAAACTGAATAGTTTTGGTTTTGTGTACATGGAGTGTTCAGTGGTCTTGATGAACGCTAACATCGCAAATTCGTAAGTGAGTAGCTGAGGCACTAGTAACATCGGCTATTGTGGTAGGAACTAAACTAGATTTACGCAGCAATGAGAAAAATGCAACAAGAAAAATTGTCCACATGCAAACATGCAAGGGAAGACGAAAATCCAAAAACTTGAAAATGGCTAACAAAATGTCAACAGTAATAGGTAATTTACGCCCTACTGGTTTGGCTAGCACACGTTTGGCAGCCTGTTTGAGAAAATTAATCTGTGATGATGCAAAAAAGGTGACATCAGCTCCCAAGTATAGATTAACTTGCTTAAGGCAACTGAGATAATTGTTAACAGAATTATATGAAGGAAACGAACCCACAAGAAAGGCTAACTAGAGCCAATAGACCTGCTCAGTTACTGGAAAGGCTGGTAGGTCATAAGAAATAGGCTCTAAGTTGTGTTCTGCGGGTACGCATTGTTCCTTCACTAAGTGCTGATTTCTTGAGCAGACCAAGTTAATGGACCAAGGATTCTGCAAAGTATGTAATAAAATACCAATATCAAACGCCAGCAGGTTAAGTGCAGGTAAAGGAAAACAGCAGAGGGTTAACTGTAACTGGCTGCAACTCAAGGGAAACTGTTAAGGCATGGAATCGTGATTGGTAGATGGCATCTGTGTGCCACCTACTAAGGCAATCTGCTAATGTGTTTTCATGTCCAGGAATGTGTACAGCCTTGAGCATGATGTTGTTAACTGCTAATGTCAACCATAATTCCCGTAAACAAGCTTGTAAGAAAACGTGCCTGCTACGCATAGAGTTGATCATTTCAATGCATCCCTGGTTGTCACAGTGAATCATTATGCATCTGCCTTTTAACTTTAATTGCCATAGCTTGACTGCCACAACCACTGTGAGAAGTTCCAACTGCGTAATGGATAACTGCTGCTGAGTAATAATTGGCGGGAAGAGTTCATGGAAATATTCTCCTTCACAGATGGCTCCACATCCTGTCAGGCTAGCATCGGTGGAAAATAACTGTTCGCTGGATTCTAGAAACTCTGTACCTATAACTGAGACACCATTGTATTTGTCTAGAAAATGTAGCCACCACTGTAAGTCCAGTTTGAGCTCATATGACACAGGAATAGTTCTTCTACGCGAATCACAACTGCGCAGTTCATTCAACAAACGCGACATAAAAGCCCACCCAGGGCGCACGCAACTGCACACGTAACTTAATTTACCAATGAGGACTTGCAATTGATGTTTAGTGGCTTGCTCCAGTTCAAGCCAATGAGAAAGTTCAGCTCGCAATTCCAATAATCGAAACTCAGGAACCGATATAGTCATGTCATCCATATCGAACCAAATTCCAAGCACAAGCATTTGTGTGTTCGGCAATTTATCTTTGGTGGGGGAGGCTTCCAAGCCCAGTTCATCAAACAATTCAGTCATCTTTTGGAATGCTGCACCTGCTAACTCTGCTAACTCAACGCCATAAAAGTCATCAATGTAGACATCAGCAAGATAACCCTCTGTAGTTAATATATGAATCACTGCTTTTGTCACTCGCTGGCATACCATAGTGGCCGAGCGAAGTCCAAAAGGAAAGCGTGTGTGAAAATATAGTTGATTGTTCACAACAAAACCAAGCAAACGAACATCCTTGGGATCCAGGGGCATTTGTCGGAAGGCCTGGGCAAGGTCTTTCTTGTACATATGACAATGACGTCCACGTAGTCGAATGAAATGAGTAAGTCTATCAAGACCTGGAAGTGTTAACTTGTATTCATGATTTAAATAACTATCCCTTAGTATTCCGGAATTAACTGATGCACTCTCAGGGAAGCGTAAGTCATGAACCACCCGTAACTTTGAACTGTCCCGTTTTGGCACTATTTGTAACGGCGACACAACACATGGACAGGAAAATGGATTACACGAAAATGGACCAATAATTGCCCCATGAGCAAGTTCCTCAACGAGATAATCCATCAGACACAAATTGTTTTTGATGGCAGAGGAGTGGTTAATCAAAGTAGACTGTGGCAACACATTTGACTGATAATTAATTGGCCAACCATAACGCAAGCATTGGACTATAATAAAATCATCATAATCATGCAGGTATGTGATCCAGTTGTCAATATTGAACGAGGTTTTAATGGGCACTTGTGAAAGAGACAAATTGTAGTCGCCTGAAGGCAAGACTGTTTCGATAATGTCAATGTTTTCAACTAGTCATTGTGGCCTTTGCTGAGCAGATTTGTTAGTTGGAATAGGATATCTCCGTTTAGCACAATGGAGCATGGGATACTGATCAGAAGCACATACTCTGCAGTGATGCATGTTCTTGTACTCTGGGTCAGTGATGTTACAAGAGCATTTGGCGATATAATTCCAGTCAGTACAATACATATCTTTCTGCTCTCTCCGAGGGGGGTCACGTTGCTGGCGTGGACCTGAAAACTTGGAGCCTGTATTCTGACTGGAACAAAGATCAGCATGACTGTAAAAGAAAGTATTCGATCGAGCTTGAATGACATCCATTTGACCCCAGGTAAGCCTACTTGGTTAATAGACAAATTAAAATTTCGAACACTCAGCCAGGAGTAGTTCATAGCTTTTTCCATAAGCAACTGGAGAAACTGAAGCAGATGTTGGTGTTGTGATTGCTGCTGTTGTTGAACAAACTCAAGAAAGGCAAACACAAATTCTGAAATGTCAATTTTATCATAATCCAACGTACCTTTTGCGGAGAAAACAGTGTGCCCTTTAGCACTTGCTTTGGGCTGCTGCATAACCGGAAAGTTGGGATGTGCTAGCTGATTCTGCTCCTCTCGCGACGGTGGGGTCAGTTCATTCATGAGCGATGCAAGGATTTTTTCTTGCAACTGGTCGTGCATAAGTTGACCACGTGCATCAGCTGACATTTTGTCTTGTGTTGTTTGGAGTGCTTCTGCGCCGAGTTTTTCTTTCTGTGAAAGAAGCTTTAAATCCAGTTGAAGGTTTTGCTGTTTTAACCACTCCAACTCCAATTGGTCTTGAATGTTGGCGGATTTTGTAGATTTCTTCTTTGCCACAGCGCCCGTCACAGCTGGCGTTGTCGCTGGAACCTGTGCAGCCGACTGAGCGGCTGCCGAGGGAGTCGCATTTGGATCAAAATCAGTAGGAAAAACCACAGCAGGAAAGTCATACACAAAATCTGGATTGAGTGGTTGTTTGACTGATCTTTTAGGCTTGGAAGCTGCCATGGTTGAGGATACTCAATTGAGGAAGCGTGGAGAGATGACACACCAAGAGTCGCCACAAATGAGCTGGAGTTCGTTCAATAAAAGCCGGTGGCTGAATGAAGGAAGTTTGTTTTCTTTAAGACGACTGAGGATAAACAGAGTTGCCTGGAGTAAGGAAGAGGCTCCTGGATCGATTTTGGACGGAGAGTAATCTGGCGAAAGACAGAGATCACGGAGCGACTTTTGTCAAGGCCTAACGCTAGGAGATTGTCCAACAACTAAAGCACATGTAGAGGTCACATGATCAATTCTGGCCAATGACTGTTCGCCATTAATTACATGTATTAACATAAATTAATACTACCCATTTGAATTATTTGTTTCTAAATATTTGAGTGGAGTGCTTGTAAATTAGCTGACTAGCTAAGTGCACCTTCCACTATAAACATGCCTTTAACCTTTAACCTTTTTTTTTGTTTAACTACCGTATTTGAGCATTTTTTTTGTTTAACTACCGTATTTGAGCATTTAAATACTACAACAATAGTTCCACTGCCACTGGATGAAGGTATCCATGGAAATAATGGATGCATTTGACAAAAATAATATTTACCTGACGAATTATTGTCCTTGGCAGTGCCTCAGGGACCTGCTTCATTGTTTCCAGCCATAGCTGGCACTCACTCACTTGGTCGCCCAAAGGCGGGCAACCACTAGATCTTTCCACAGCCTCTTATCAGCCATCAGTACAGCAATCTCACTTGCTTCGAATGCCCCAGTATCCCTCTTAAGAGTGTCAATATAGGTAGTAAGGCAGGCAGGGAGGTCGTAAATTCTCCAGGAGAATGACACAACCATATCTTCCTTTTCTTCCACTTGTTCCATCACAGTTTCCTGTAGGAGAATTTACAGTACAACTCAGTGTCTTCTCTCCTCTTTTTTTTTGTTGTTGTTGTTGTCATTGCTTTAAACATTACAGTGGAATCCCGCTCTACGGACGCCCGCTTAACACGGACACCCCAATATTAGAGACCATTTCGTTTGTCCCGTCGAAAAGTTCATATTGTCTCCATAAAATTAACCCTCTTATAAGTTACTGTAATTTTAGTCCGTGAACATTGAGTTATTAGATGAACGTACGGTTTCCATAGATTCAATCTCACTTGCTTCGAATGCCCCAGTATCCCTCTTAAGAGTGTCAATATAGGTAGTAATCGGTCTTCCTCTCCCGCGATGACCATGTGTGGGCTCCCATAGGACAAATTTCTGGGTACTTAGCTCGGGATGGCGATAACAGTGTCCCGCAAGTTGTAGTCTACGAGAGGCGATTTTGTTGCTGACTGCTGATAGATCTCCGTACAGTTGTTGGTCTGGTATGTGGCTGCTCCAGTGGATGTTTAAAGCTTTTCGCAGCATCCTAGTGTATGTTCGGATCACTCACCGTTTCTGGGAAACCAGTCTAGATAGCCTCGTAAAAAATCGTCTCGATAAAATGGCTACTCGATCTGCCACGAAGACGTGACTCGTTTAAAAAACAATCCTCCTTATTGAAACAAGGCTCGTTCAAAAAACGAGTCCTTCTGAAAACGAGACTCGTTTTGCATATGAGACTGGTGGAAAAACGAGACTCCTTTGGAAAGACTCGTTTAACGAGACTCGTTTAACGAGACTGGTTTGGAAAGACTCGTTTAACGAGATTCATCCGGAAAGACTCGTTTAACAGAACTACTCGTTCGGAAAGCGAGACTCGTTAGGAAAACGTGATTCGTTCGCAAAACCAGACTCGTTTCATCAGACTCGTTCGTGAAGGGAGGCTAGTTAATCAATTAATTTATTTATCCTTTTTTATTTCACTGTAAATGGTAAAGTAATGTAATTATCAAGAAAATTATTTTACTCACAGTCCTGCGTTGACCAGAAACTCCGGCTTTGAATAGTCTTAACCTTGAAAAACTCAGATTAAGGACCATCACCTTCATATATTGTTGTTGCTGTATTTGTTGATGTCAATGTAGGCAGGGGGCAATGAATTCTTCTTTCATTTGGTGTGGAATGATTTATTTCAAATGTTTTCTTTGTTTCAGTATCTAACTAACAAATTGATAGGCCAAATATTACTAACGTAAATAATAAAGAGTATTGATGTCATTATTCTCGAGTTGTACCTTTTGTGTACTTAAAAATCAGTTTAATTTCTACCACCACTATCTGTTTCATCCACAGAAATATTTTTTTACGAACAGTAACCAACAAATGTTTTTTTTTTCTTTTCAGTATCTAACTTACAAATTGATTGGCCAAATATTACTATCGTAAATAATAAAGAGTATTGACGTAATTATTCTCGAGTTGTACCTTTTGTGTACTTAAAAATCAGTTTAATTTCTATTACCACTATCTGTTTCATGCTCGGAAATTTTTTTTTATCAACAATAACCAACAAATAGGTTGCCCATAAGGTATAATAAAGTGCTTCTACCATTCTATCATTCTATCTAGAATACACAACACGATCTATAATTGATGAAGAACACGATGTCAATGATTAGAATAAATGCAAAAATTGCCAATCGAAATATTGAGTCTGAAAATAACACAAACGTCTAAAAGGTAGATAGCGCCACTGAAAACAACATTATTCACGGCTAGAAATGATACTATCTATTAACAATGATTTGTTCCACCATTTGCGCTCGACGGTATATATTTTGTCTATTCAGAAAATGCAGGGTTAAGTTTTTTTTTTAAATTATTCACAATACACTACAATCTGCGACAAAATTCGTTGAGCCGCTTTTTTCTGCCGCACTTAAAAATGAACTTAAAAATCTACCACACCTCGAAACACAATACCACTATAACCCTATACCCTTTCCCGCATTCAGACTCATTTATCAGGGGGGGGGTTGGTCAAAGTAAGGGAATCGAGGCTAAAACTATTCAGAAATGTTGTACTCTTAATGACAATGCTTTGGCTACTGTGTCGCAGAGTGTAGGCCGATCTTTAGTTCAGACAATATTCCTCAGGAAAATTCACTCGTTATTCTATTTTAAAACAAATTATAAATGATTAAAAACTTTATTTCAATCTCCCCCTCCACATCGACCCAACGGTTTACTTGTGAAAGGTTACACCCCCACATCGATCCCTCTCTCATTCTTGTGGGTGGTAGCTTTTTGATTGTTTCGTTTTCCTTTCCTGGAGAAATCACCATCCTATGAAGATAAAAACCAAAAGGTTATGAATTGCCATTAATCTTCTATGTGTTATATCGCATGTAGACCTGTTTACTTCATATCAGTAATATCCGTTCTTGACAAGTCGTGTCAAACGAGCTATTGCACTCGCGTCATTTTAAATGGATTTTAACTGATCATTATTGGTATAAGCTCATCATAAGAACAAAACCCTCCCTCGACAATTTTCATTACCTGACTCCAATCTACTTTCTGACTTTTTGGGGGGCCTAAGAGGTCTGTCAGGTGCTGTCCATTCGCATGAAAAAAATTTACACGCCAATATTTCACACCAGCTCCTCTCACCTTATCTCTACTGAAACGGGAGATGCGGCAGAAACCAGCTGTAAAAACAAATCCAAGTTTTTTGTGAATACTGCCCTCCAAGTGTATCCGTGGGATTTTATCTCGCCACTCGTGAGAGGTCGTTCTTCTGTCACGGTGACGAGAGAGGCAGGGAGGTCGTAAATTCTCCAGGAGAATGACACAACCATATCTTCCTTTTCTTCCACTTGTTCCATCACAGTTTCCTGTAGGAGAATTTACAGTACAACTCAGTGTCTTCTCTCCTCTTTTTTTTTGTTGTTGTTGTTGTCATTGCTTTAAACATTACAGTGGAATCCCGCTCTACGGACGCCCGCTTAACACGGACACCCCAATATTAGAGACCATTTCGTTTGTCCCGTCGAAAAGTTCATATTGTCTCCATAAAATTAACCCTCTTATAAGTTACTGTAATTTTAGTCCGTGAACATTGAGTTATTAGATGAACGTACGGTTTCCATAGATTCAACTCGTCAGTTGCAGTTACAATTAGGTATAAAGGTATCCTAGAGTATGATAAATAGCCGTCAGGTTTCCATAGCCTAAAATAATGTCACAGTCAAAGTACAATTTTTAAACGTTTTGTTGCCGTTAAAATGTCTGCTCTACCCCTTTTTCATTTGAGAGCCTTCTGGCCACCCTGATATTATGGACACTTCGGTATGTCCCCTTGGTGTCAGTATTAACGGGGTTCCATCGCATTTTTTATCGATATCAGTTGAGATACTTACCTTTCTTTGTATTAGGCCCAATAACCGCTGTATCTCACCATGCTGTAAGTCATAGTGTGATCTCGCCACATCGTACACGTGAGCACCCATGTCCCTCCTGTGTTTTATTTGTTTACAGCCTCTCACTTTGCACTCTAAGGCCTTCAATGGGCAATTGTGCTGGTGCAAACACACATGGCAGGGTTCGTACCCTTTTTTGGACTAAAAATTTAAGGACTTTTCAAGGACTTTTCAAGGACATATTTTTCATTTTTCAAGGACTCCACCAACTGCAAAATAAAAGGATGTTCACCTTATAGTAGCAATTGTGCCGAGCTTAAGTCGAGCTTAAAGTCTATGCCTTTTTTAGTTCATCCACAACATTCGCAATTTTGCACTCAAGGTCTTTGCGAGCCATCTCCTTTTCTTTTGCAGTTCTCCTCAAACTATTTGACTTTGTAATCCACACAAGTTTCCCAGTGTCCTCTGCTTTCTGTGCAAACTCTCTGCTGATTTAACGAGATTGTCAACATCAGTGTCTAAACGCCTTCTTTTCTTTTTAAGTTCCTCAAGTTCATCGACTAGCTCCTTTCGCTTCAGTTCTACACCCTCAGAGGTTTTCTTCCTCTTTTGTTCATCAAGATATGATAAATACTTCTGCCTAGCTCCTGCAGCTGACAAAAGAAGTGGTTTGTCGATTGAAACAGCAAGGACACCTCCCACAGATTGTACATGATCTTGTACCAGCCTTTGTGCAATGAAGGAGCGCTCTTGGAGGTTCTCGACTTCCAGTTGCTTATTGACTGAGAATCCTCTTTCGAGACTGGCCTGGCCATGTGATAATATCAGTAGCTCTGAGACTACTTTCCACAATGATTGGTAGGATCGCTTCTGTCCCATGTGAAGATACAGAAAGGAATCAAGTCTATCATTGTTAGGATCATAGTCTTTGAACTCCGACGGAGAAGAAGAGGGGGCTTCCATAATGAATTGTCTAAATAGTTCCAAAAGGGAATCACATTCACCTTCCAGGACTTTCTTGGCATTTTCAAGGGTAGTCAAAACTCTCTTGAATTTTGTGATGGAAACATCATGGTCACTCATCATGTTCCTTGGATCTAAGCAATTTATATTCCTTACAAGGGAATACTGAATTGGTGCTTTGGCAATCAGTTTGCAAACTACTTTCATAAGGAACTCCTTGCATTCCATCTGAAACTGAAGCACTCTTTTCTCTGAAACTGTGGCCTTTGCAATCAACTCCTTGATCTTCTTGTCAGCTGTAAACCCCAGGTCAATCTTGGAATGAGAGGCATGAATGCTGGAGTCAGCAGGGTCAAGTTTTGTAAGCTTCAATGGGGTTTTGGCTTCACTGATAACAGTGGTCTTAATAAATCTTCTCATTAATCCCCCAAGCATGCTGTACAGGTCTGTAGCCAGGAAAGGAAGCATAGGCTTGTCGGTTTGATAGAGTGTCAAAAACGGTGTCACTTGCTTGGCTACTGATAGGTAGAAGGCGACTTTTGCAGTCGTAAAGGGATCTGCAACAAACTCTTGTACAGTGTCAAAGGATTTATTCTGTGGCTGTGGAACTTTTCCTGCCCTTGCACTCTGAACATACTTGACAACACTGTCCCACATACTCTGTGTACGTTCTGCAACCAAGACATTCTCCAACCACCTATGTTTGCAGAACTTCAAAGCAAACAGTGAGCTTCCTGTTACTTTGGTGTAGTCCTCTCTCCTTGCCGGACTGTCCTGAAAAAGCCAGTGAAGGCTAGAGAACAACCTGTCTAACTGCCATCCTGATGCCACAGCACCATCCTTGAATGCTCCATGAAGAATGTGTAAACCACAGCTGCCAATGTTCAGCATGTGACTATTATGCTCCCTTTTTGCCTCATCAGTCAGCATACTGTAAAATTTCCAATTAACGTTGGGTCCATTGACAACTAGTATGAGAGAAAACATTCCTTGTAATATTGAAAGGGAAACAGATTATTTAATTTAGTACTTGCATTACGTCCCAGAGTTCGTGTCATTGTCCACCTAGACACGAAGTGAACTACTCATGGATGCATTGGAATTGTGAAAATTTGCAATGAAAGAGTGTTCATTATTTAGACCTTAAAGGGCAGAAAACTAAGTAAGGTGTTTCATTTCTATTTAATACAATTTTATCGCTTTTTGGCATTACACAAAACATTTGTTTTCCGTACGTAACGGCGATTTGCACCACACTAGTAACAGTACATGTATTTATAATTAGGAAACCTAGGAGGTAATGTCATCAGCGAAGAGATGACCATGTTTATCTTTCGTTTGTTATGTTTATATAAATTACCCAAACATAACGAGAGTTGCATCCTACCTGATAAACTTTTTTGAGAGGAATTCCTTCTATGCCTGAACGAAAATGAGAAAGCATGTCCTCTGCTGTTCCATGCCCCATAAACACTGAGGTATAATAGCGACTTTCAACTTCGTGTTTGTCATGATTCCATGAACGAATGTGAATATCCATTTGCTTTGACTGGCACACGCTATTCAGGCTCTTGTCAAACATAAGTACATAAGCTTCTTCTTTTTTCACAACGTCCTTCAAAAGTTGTTTGAAGTGTGGAGCGAGCCCAAAACAGATCAAGTATGCACATTTCTTTTCTCCACATGTAAACTGACTCGCGATCCGACTGTCAGGAAACATTGCTTGAAACAATTTGCTCGTACCTTCGCATGATTTATAGGAGTAATGAGACATTATCACCTTCAATGCCCACAAAATTTCTGCTTTCAACGTCTCATCACGAGTCACAATTCTTTCCATCACCGATGAACCAGATGAACTCGCAGTACTAGACTTTGTGGGGTTGAGCGTGTTGTGTTCGCCACTTTCAGACGAAGTGGATTTTGAAACTTCTTTGGCATCGTCACTTGTAGTTGCTGGTTGTTGAGAAGAAACCCCCAAAAAATCTGGAACGCTTGCTAATGACCTTTTCTGGGATGTCAGTGTTTGATGTTTTTTTTCTTTCAAGTGACCTGTGAGCGCTGACTCTCCCATGCTCGAAATGTCAACATCCTTCATACACACGATGCATCGTGCCTTGTGCTTGTCACCCTTGACTTCTCGTAGCCAATCTTTATACAGTGATTTCTGAAGCCACAAGTTGCTGAAAACACACTTGCCCATTGTTTTAAATCTCTCACTCGTGAAACAAAACGCAAACAATCAACACTAACCCAGACAATGATCCGGAAAGCACTCAAGGCACATGGGTTTTCTAAGAAAGAGGGAATAGTACAAAACATTTGATTGGCCCTTGACATTCGAGACCTTCAACCAATCAGAGTGATTAATAGAACCAAGAACAGGACAAATGGATATGGGCGATTGATCGACGTGCGGAGTGGCGTTACGATCGTTTTTTATTTGTATCTTACTATTATGTGTTGCTACGTTTGTGCCAGTGGCATATATTTTCAAATAAGGCACTCTAGAATCTAAGTTGGATTAAATTAGCTACAAATTTCAAGGACTTTCCAGCACTGACTACAATTTTCAAGGACTTTCAAGGCCTTGAATTTTTATTTTGAGATTCAAGGACTTTCAAGGACTTTCAAGGCGCGTGCGAACCCTGACATGGGCTCTGAAAAACATTATCAACAGTCACTAATTATTTTGGGTTATACGAACTTTAAGACTAATTAATTAAACCATTCGGAGCTTTGCAGCCCGTATTACTTATTGCTACTGGTCCAAGAAAGTATGACTGGACTTCACTCTCGCTTCAGCCGGTTCACTGCCTATAAGTGTGCTGTATGCTGTATTATTGTACTTTTGTCCTCGTACTTCATGCCCGAAAAATCCCATTGGAGAGGTGTTAATGGGTTTATTTCTCAGTATTGAGTCACAAATTGTATTAGGTCAGACGTTGTAATCAATGTACAAAGATTCGTGTAACAGATGCGTCTCATTCTCGCCTGAGGAAATTCTAAAAGGAATTCTTTGAATTTTTTTTTGACTAGTTTTTAGAAAAAGACCACGGTGTTGTGAACTGTCAAGATGTGCAGATCGTGCAAAAGTTCAGTTCAAGCTTTACCATGGTCATTTGGTTAATTGTAAGGGTCTTACCTCGGCAATTTCATGCCACATCCGAGTGGGCAGTCTATTTTTGAATAGAAACACTCCCTCCTTTCGTGTTGGGCTAAACAACTTCTCGCTACTTCCTTCCTGCAGCCATGGCAATCTACTAAAGCCTTTTCGCAGCTATTGCTGTGCTCGTCCATGTCCTCGCGCAAGGAAGAGTGGTGACATCCAACGTTAGGGCATTTTACGACAGCTTTGGGACAGCCCTTGCCATGGTCCCTTGCATGTTCCAGAGTGCCTTTCCATACGCAACCAGAATTGCTACAATGCATACCCAGATTTCTTGTTAGTGCGTCAAGGCTGACGTTCAGGTGCAATCGATTGCGATGGAAAGTTTCGCGGCAAACGGGGCATGGAGCTGTGTTTGATGCCGTGTTGTCGGAGAGAGAGACGATAGAGTGCGCGCACTTCATGCACCCAGAATGTCCACATGCCAGACTAACTGGTTTTATCATCACTTCAAAGCTACAATTAATACAGATTCAATGATTATTAGTAACACGGCGGATAGTGTATCTTTTTTCAGATCAAATAAGACTTGTCGCCGAACTTATTATCTTTTACTGGCGTCCATGGCCATTTTTTCTTCGTTTCAGCTGCAGCTTGTATTCCTATAATCTCAAAAACAAATTTTCTAATCAACGTCGGAAGATAAATTTGGTAAATGAACCTAATTGTTGGGTGGGCGGGGTGCGACGAACGACACAAAGAACAGTTGTGAAGCTGACTAAGTATTGCCGACGCGAACTTTTATTGTTCGGAGCATGAAAATGAAACGCTCTAGACAGTTGGAAAACACTTCCATGATGTGAAACCGTTTATTTCGTATGAAATCTTGCTTTTGTCGGTCTTTTTTCGTCTTTTGTAGTAATACAGTAACACGATAAGTCTACGCAGATTTATAATCAATGTCACTCACCCCCACCCCCTAACATTTAACAGCTCTGAAATCGATCACATTTTTAGAATCCTATCATTTTGTCTATTATTTCTATATTTTACTTTATATTTTCTTTTTTTTTTCTTTTAAAAAAAGTTCATTAAAAAAGGGAAAAAATTGTATCCACGACCCTCTACCTGAAACCCTCGCCCTCGATATGGAACCCTCGACCCTCGACAAAAAGATAATCTACCCGGTGTACCAAAGGATTCGTTTTTAGATTATTCAAGGCTTCTTGTCAGGATCAAGCTCTCTTTGGTTTAGCATCAAAGTAGAGGCAATGAAAAGAATATGACAAAACACCTTCAGAGGGCGACTTTTGTTAATTTTTTTATTTCCAGTGAACGGAAGGTCAGTCAAAAAAATCACCCATGTCTCCAAAAGTAAAAGCAAAATATTGTAACGGTCGCATGTTATTTTGTATAAAATGTTTCCTTTAATGAAAGTTAATTTGACAGTTACGTGTCATAATCCTCGCTGCGTATGTACTCCCCAGTAAACTATTCCCGAGAAAGGGACTCATCCGGAAGCTCTCATTATGTGTTCCTCATTAGCATTTTGTTCTACATGTGATTTCGCGTCGACATCTCGTATCCTTGTTGTCGTGTGTCACTAGTCACGTTTAAATCACGAAACGCGTTAAAAAAGCAAACAAACGTCCATAAACGGTAAAAACGTCATAGTCAGGGCCCAAGAAGAAGACCAAAGGCGACTTTTCTGCTAATGAATATCGTACTGCTTGCTGTGAGCGTTCGAGGTGCCATCATTTCATCTGCTGGCGGCGTAGTACTTTTAAAGTGGCGGTTGTCTTTGATACCAGATAATCTTTCTATAGATATGTAGTTAGTGGTAGTTAACTTTGAAACAACGCGTGCACGAATTTTGTTCGACAGACAACCGCGAAGGTGTTGTGTAACATTACGCAAGCTTGACAAGGTTAAACGCGCACAGACTAATAGGCTTTAAGGCTCTTTTAATGCGAGCGTTTTACTTAAGTCAAACCTGTTACTAGAGAGCAAATGACTGAGAGGTACTTGGTAATCGATGAAACCGATGCGCACTACAAGGATTTCAAAACGCGTGTCACTATATTGCTGTAGCTACCAGAAACAGAACTTACGTACCAGACAACGCATTCAAAGCCATCCTTGATTGATTCAGAGAAGATGCAGTTGTAGATGTTGTTACCGTTTGTTTCTTGCGCCATATTCGCTGGCTGGTGTACTTCTTTCAACTTCGTGGAGATGGAATATCAAAGTATGATTGTTTCAGAGCGCAAACATCTCAACAACGTCCAACAGCGTTTCCCAATTGTTAAAAGTAATTTATTAATTTCAGTTATGATTTGTTGTCATTGTGACGTCAAACTCCCAGGGATCGCTGGAATCAATCCTCTACCCAGGCTCCATCTCCTCTACCTATTTTTCGTTTTTAATCAGCCTGGATTCGTGCGCAGAAGAAAGAGAACCTGAGAATGCGGCTGTGACTTGGTGGTATAAATTGACAGGCTCTTTAAAAGGAAAAAAAACAGAAAATTATTCGTTCACGGCTTTTGCAGTTTATCGATGTTATTGAAAAAATGATGCCTATTCCCTTTGCTTTTATTGATCATATCTTAGCATCTTTGCAGTCCGTATTCTTTTGATCCTGAGCAGGTACTGGTGCAGATGCAGGGTAGAAGACATTGAGAGAGATAGGGTGTGTCGTCTGCATTTGCGTTCTCTCCGCGCCAGAAATAGCGTCCGACGAAACAGTAGTCTACAAGGTTCCATCGAAATTATCACAGTCAAACGTGACCGACTGCCCACAATCCATAGACCGAAAACCTTACCAATATATTTGTGTATATTTTATGTTCATATATTTTTAAAAGTATTCATTTCTATATTCATTATATAACCCGCTTGCTATTGCTTTAACATTCTTAAATTGTCTAATACTCCGTTCACACCAAAGCTTAAACATGTTTAAAAGTTGTTTAGTTAAACACGCTTTAAAATTATTTTCTTTATAAAAGCTGCTTACTGGTGTTTGTTGACTACAAATTCAGCGCAAATCAAAGAAAATGATTAAGTTCATCTAAATCCTGCATAAATACCTGAGTTCCAGTTTGCTCGTGAAGTGAAGGAAACAAAAGCAATCTACACGCAGGCTAAATAGACAAGGTAAGACTAACATACGATACAATCTTTTCATCCACTATTTAGAAAGAGGCCAATTCATTTTACTTCATTTCATTTTTATTCCTTGACTGCCCTGCCTCCTTGCAAAAGACCTAATTTAGAGCGGCTGTTTTCTCGAGAAAGGATTCTGAGTTTCTTGTGAAGAGTTTCTTGAAAGAAAAGTGAAGAACCGTTTTAATTTTTTAATTAAAATTACATGCACGAGAACACCAGTTTTAATTTCTAATTTACATTTTATCGTAACGGTATTCTATCAACCGCAAAGTATGATCTGATGTGCAACAACATTAACTATAACTATAATGAGAGAAAAAGAGAACAAACCATAAATTGCTTAGCTACCCTCCAGCAAGAAAAAGATTCTTTTCTTATCTGCAATCATTACCAACCGCCGACTCCCACGGACAACACTTTCCAGTCGCATTCCCCTCAAACAAATCAAAGAACGCCGCCTTACTGACGGTTACAATACAACAATGTTCAGTAGATCGATACAATTCTTCATCTCCTCTATCGATAAAAAACACTTTTAACAGAAGACTCATACAATGTAATCATTAAATTGCGAAGCCATAACTGGAAGAAAATTTGCAAGAACTCGTTCTCCTCCTCTCCACTGCCTCCACATCCTATCATTTAAGTAGGCTTGGAGGTCTTTAGCCTCTACTCCACGTCGGGTCTTAATTCCAAGTTTCAAATTGTTCCACGCAGATTCGGCCTCTTGAGTATGGACACCGCTTGTAGGATCTACAAAGTTATCGGCGTGAATTACCACCCGATGGAGCGAAACGTGGTTGGGAAGATGGCATTCCAAGTTCTGATAAGCCCCCCAGTCATCAGTGAAAACTTCGCTTCCGGGCTGGAGGCATTTAGCTAAGATCGGCAAGAGGGTAGCTCTGTCTCTTCTTTCTACTACTTAGTAGTACCCCTTGGCTGGCCGTGTAGCGGTGGACAACACACCAAACACCCACGAATTGGGTGCTCGCCGTCCTCTATTGTGCTGTTCATTAAAAAAGAAAAAATCAAAAACATATTCTGTGAAAAAGGAATGAAAACAGTAGACACTTTTTTTTTTGCATTAGATAGGCAATTGATGAGAACTTTTTTCAGACTTTTTAGTTCAGAAAGCAATAAATAATGCGGGAGATTTCGTGCAATTTTGATAAACGTAGTACTAACAACTGCCCATTTACTCTTGTCAGAAATCTGAGTTATCTGATCGTCGCTTAAACAGAGCTAACAACTTGCATCAAAACTAAATTAAAATTTACGGGCCTTTTAGAGCGCGGCAACAAATAATTTGTTTCAGCAATCAAAAACTGAGTATCCCACCTTGGCCTTGTGGCTGAATTTGCTTTCGTCGCATTTGACGACAGCTGTTCCGGGAAACGGAATGAACGGGCTTCATTCAATGTCAGCTGAACAGATGTCTTCCAGACTCCTAAAAACCCTGCATACCAGGTTTTCGTTCAAAGACAGCATCCTGGCTGCCCTTCTGCGTTGTTCATCTTGAGACCAAAAGTAGATAAGCAAGATCAAATCACCAAGGGGTACTTTGGGATATTTCTCAAAGAAACTGTTGGTGCGCAGACTCCTCTTTTTCCGGCACACTGTACATCTCCTATGAAAGGAACAACGTTGATTACTGGTGACTTTTAGGCGGCACTTTTTAGGCTGAGAGAGGTTGCAATATTGTTCGGTTGGCAAATAACCCGGGCGTGTTGCATATGTTTGGGTGCGAGCCGGCATAATGAGGCTCGCACGACATCGACATCGAGGCTTCCTTGAAAAGTGACAGGGAAAAAAAACTTGTGAACGAAAAATCTCTTCGTTTACCTGAAAGCAGCTCATTTGACAAAGCGCTTTCGCACAACTAAAAATAATCTTCTTTGAATCTTCATGAAAAAAATAGGCTCAAGGAATAATGTCAAACCGAGAGAGAACATTGCTCACTTCCTTTTTTCGTTTGTTAATTCTTTTTATTTAGCCTCCCTCGCCTCTGCGAAAAGTATTCGATCGAGTTTCCTGCCACGTGTATACACATATCGATCGAGTAAAGAACTTCTAAAAAGCTGAAGAAATAACCTGAAGAAAATTAATTAAATTCATGTTTTCAATTTCCCCATGTTGTATTTTCTTTTGTATCTCTGAAAGCAAAATAGACAGATGGGAATACACTTTTCGTTGGTTTCTTTAATTTTATCGCCAAAAGTGTAGATCAATTGATAGCAATGATCAGGGGCACCCAACGAGGATATAGTTCAAAACCACTTAACATAGCATTGTTGAACGTATTTTAGTATTTAAACGGTAGATATAAGCATATTTTTATCCCCTAAGAAATTTTCATCTGTTCGGATTTCCTAGCTGAAAGTCTAGTGGGCCGAAAATTATAGGGATCAAAACTTACCTTTTCGAAAATTTCAGCCAGGAAAAGGCTCCCTAAAATTCTAGGTGGCCTTTGTTTAGGGTAAATATCCATTTAAAATGGGTAATTATACCATTTCGTAGATGTTGGAAAATCCTAGGAGAGGCAGGCAAGCAAGAAATTTTACAACAAATGTTCTGAAAATTCTAGTTCTCAAATCGTCTTCCGAACAGATATTTTCCCGAAAATTGCCGTTGGGTGCCCCTGAATGATTTGACTGAATGATCGCTTGCTTGAATTTTTTTCCACATCAGACAGAAACATCATAGAACTCAAATACATTTCTTTTTTATCATCACGATGGCTAACGATTCTTTGAAAACTGCTTGCTTAACATTCTCGACATTCTTCGACCAAAGCTGATCGCGATTGCTCGTGTTGCTTTGAAACAAAAGGACTATGACACCACGGGTTGTACTTTTTAAATTTTCTTTCATTTAAAACCCGTAACCTAATAAAGAATGCGCAGGATGCTTAAAAAATGTTCGACGTAGTTCATTATTCATGTGATCGAATACAAACAGCATATTAATTGAAATATGCGATATGTCGCGCGCATTCCCTGTTAGCAGAGGTCTCTCATTTTTGCCTCGTCGTGAGAGATCTCTGCTACCAGGGATTTAATCCATGCCAAATGTGAGATTCGTTGCTCTCAGGTGTCATTAAAACAACATATTTTGTGCAAATAGGGTAATAAATATCTTAATAAGGGTTAAATATACAATTCCTACCATTGATAGCCATCTATGTGGTCCCTGGACCTTTCAACTAGAGTCATGTTCGTGTTGCATCCACGGCAATGAAGCGGATTTGCAAGAAGAGAGCGTTGTTGTAACCATCTCCGTTGTCTGTCAGTGGAATACTGCTTAAGCTGCATGAAATATTCGAGATTCATTTTCGATTGAGAAAAAGTGTTTGCGAATGAGAGCGATACGTTTTGGAAACAATTAAATATCTTGGGTGCGCGTCAAAGCCAGTGTCAAAAAAGGGGGTGTCTTCCTGCTTTGTTATGATTGACATATTTTCTTTACTTTAAAAAATAATATAGTCAAAACTCTATTAAGCGGCCCCCTATTAAGTGGTCACCCTCTATGAAACGAACCCTTATCAAATTCCCAAAAAGCATTCCCCTTATTTACTGTAAATTTCACCTCCACTAAGCGGTCACCATTTAGAATTCCCAACTGACTAATTTTATTGTATTTCACCTCTATTAAGCGAGCACGTGGTAAATTACAATGCGCTACTTTAAGGATACTTTGACACGATGATACGCGAACCGCGTTCAGTTTCTTTCAACAGCTCATCAAACTCAACGTGATATACATAAAAACTAGAATCAGTAAGAGTGGTTTTGTTTGCGCGAGAATAGGCCTTCGAGGGCCCACCGCTGTGCACGTCAAATTCCTCCTTTATTAACTTCGCTTGTAGCCAGCCATAAGGGGAGGTTAAGGGGAGCAGAGTTGCTGCGGTGGTGAGAGCACTCACCACCACCAATGTGGCCCGGGATCGATTACCGGATTCGAAGCCATATGTGGGTTGAGTGAGTTGGTTCTCTACTCTGCTCCGAGAGGTTTTTCTCCGGGTACTCCGGTTTTCCCGTCTCATAAAAAACCAACATTTGATTTCTCCCCAATTAGTAGAGCACTTGTGCTTGGCTAACTACCCTTGAGACTTTAATAAAGTGATTATTATATATATCATTATTTTAAGAAAAACTGCCGCCTTCAACGAGGTATTCGCAAGGAACCTCGAGAACGGCCATAGCCACCTCTGTTTACTCGTTTCCCCTTGATTATTACTTTTTCGCAGTTCGTAGGCCTCTTTGGAAAAATGCTTAACCACGTAGCCATTAGTGCTGGGACATTACCAATACCTTCAAATCTGACAGTCACAATATTTCAATGAACGTCATCAGCTTCCTGGGCTTCCTTTTCGCCAGAATACTGTATACATGCTACAGTTCCGTTTTTCCCATAGTTTATAAAGCGTTTTGCAAAACCTCTGTTTAGCGGTCAGCTGGCTCATTCCTGAGGGTGACCGCTTAATAGAGGTTTGACTGTAGAAGGGTTGTACATCAGTGATAGTCCGACGTCCCTTTACCGCAACCGACCATGGCGGCCTGATGCAATGCTATGTGTCTGTGACAGTTCTCCCTCCTGCGTAATGAAATACTTCAGTATTGTATTATTCGACTATCTGGTTCAAAAAACAACTTCTTATTTACTAATAATAGAACATAATATACAGAATATCAGAGATTTTTGCGTGGTCAGAGTTCCAACCCACTTGAGCTTACAGATCTCAGTGTCAGACAAGTCTGTGTCCGAAATTTGAAGTTCACTCTAAGTTTCCCACTAGTACTCGTCAATGTAATTACACTAACGGAGTTTAGTATGCTACCTTTCTTAATCAAAGAAGACGGCTTAACATGCAGAAAATGCAAGCGATTCAAGAGCCATGATGCGAAATGACTGGTAGGAAACAATGGCGCCCATGAGAAATTATGTCTGGTAAATTACCATATCAAGTTAGAAATTTGTAAACAAGTTAGCAGGAAAGGAAAGACGACCAAATTAAGATTTTTTGCTAAAACATCAAATTTTTCAAGAACTAATTCGAAACTTTTCAGCCGCACGAACTTCGTCCTTCCCCTACTTTATTCTTCTTTTTTTTTCAGCCCAGTATTTTATTGTCAGTGACATGTTTTGATTTATTTTTAGAGGAAAGACTTTTTCAGTGAAATTAACATGGAACAAAAGAAGGGTACATAGAAATGTTGTGCCGCGTAACGCTATGAACACAAATGGTGGAACAGAGAATTAACTCTGAAGTCCAAATGAAAGTGCTAAGTGAAACCCACGAAAAACCCACTGGGCGTTAGCCCTAGCAAAGGGAATCGGGGAACCACACGAGGTAATGAAAAAAATTTTCACGTTACCTTGGTGGGAATCAAACCCACGACCTCTGGATTAGATCTACCGTTTCTTGTTCTAAGCCGGAGGTCGTGGGTTTGATTCCCACCGAGGTCATAAGAATTTGTTTTTTTACCTCGTGTGATTCCCTGATTCCTTTTACTAGGGCTAACGCCCAGTAGCCTTTTCATGGGTTTCACTTAGCATTTCAATTTGCACTTCAGAGTTAATTCTCTGTTCCACCATGAATGAAAGAAGCCCTATATAATTTCGATCCTGGTTTGGTCTGGTTTGTTGTTACCATCGAATAACCTGACGTACAGAAAGTTGCTGGTGAAACGATAGGTTTCAGTTGGTCAGTGATGATGATTTTACCAGCGTTTGTGAACTAGGCAAAAATATGAATTTTTTTTTTTTAATAACATTTATTCAATCAACAATCAACAATCAAAAATGCTTACAAACACTACGATACTTACACTACTTACAATACAATATTTAGAATACAATAGACTAAGGTACTTACTCTGTTTACAATGTAAAGACTTACAATACTCAGTACTTACAACACTACCTACTCACTACTCACACTACAATGCACTATTTACAAGCAGTTCTAATTAGTAATTGTACTTCAAAACCAACATTCACGGTAAACGCACTTATATCTTAAGTGTCTTAAAGAGGCAGCGATTGTGAAGCAAAAGATACGCCAGGTTAATGCTGGAGAAAATGAGCAGAGGATCGAGATATACAAATGTATACAAAATCAAAGGCTTACTGAAATAAGGAGCTCACATTTTCCCATTTTTTTGGTAAAGTGGGACCTGCAGTGGTCTCTATGTGGTAGAATGATTTGAGGTATTGCAGGAAACCTGCTATCTTTGGCGAGGTTTCCCTTCTTTTGCTAATCCAGATGTAATTTCTGGCTAGAAGGAAAAGGAAATTAATTTGCTGGCAGTTTTTTGAAGAATCCGGCTTTAGACCAAGTACAACAAATACATCTAATGTGTAATGTTCCGGCGTAATGTGGAGCAAAGTCAGCTTAAGAGATAAACTATGCCAGAAAAAGGCCACTTTAGGACAAGACCAAAAAAGATGAAGAAGTTTCTCCGGTTCATTATTACAAAAAGAACAATTTGGGTTGTCTTTTATGCCAATTTTTGTTAAGAAGTCGTTCGTTGATATTCGTCTATGTAAAAATTTATATTGGAATTCAATAATTCTTGTACTTTTAGTATATTTAGCGGCCAACTGGTAGGCTTTCCGCCAATTAATCGCCTCCACATCATTTTCGTTGCAGTCTTTTAGCCATTTCTGTTGATTCTGGGATGGTTACTTTGCATTTTGTAGAAAGCAACTTGGTGCATACAAGTTTGCTCGCACTTTGGCATTCTGTTAATCTTACTACAAAGGTTTCATAATTGTTGCAGTTTTTGATACAGTTTGTTTTACATGTAGTCCAAAGAGATTTTAGAGCAGACACTAGTCCGAAATACTTTAAAAGACAAACTTTGAGGCTGTATTTTTGCTGCAGCTCAGCTAGTGATAAAAATTTGTTATGTTCATCTTTCAAATGTTTCACCTTTGTAACGCCTCGATCAAACCATTCACGATAGAAGACGGGACAGTTATCGATTCTAATGAGTGAGTTGTGCCATAAAGTTTGTTCAAGAAATTGTTTCTCGGACGTTATGTTTTCATCAAAATTGACTTCCGCCCAGATTGAAAGTATCTCTTTTATAAAGTTATTCTTAATCTTGAGGTTCTCAATTGCATCTTTCTTGTTTAAGTTACTAGTGAGGACTATTGTGCCTCCAAATCGATCTAACTCTATATCAAAAAAATATTTCCATTTTCCCTGGTTCTCTTCATCCAGATATTTTTTAATCCATGTAGCTTTCAGGGACTTGTTAAAAGACTGTATGTCTATCATTTTAAGTCCTCCATTAGCATAATCGTTTGTTATAATGTCTCGTTTGATTTTATCTCCTTTTCCATTCCAGAGGAATGAAAAAAATAACTTGTGTACTTCTTTGATAATTTTCACATTTTTATGTAAAGGTGAGAGCACATAAACGAGCTGAGAGGCAACCAGACTTTTTAGGACCGTTATCTTTCCAACTAGGGTAAGTCTACGGTATTTCCAGCAGCTCAAAACATTCCGGACCTTATCTAGTTTTTCATTATAATTTAAAGTTGCAGTTGCTTCCGGATCATTTGAAAACCAGACACCTAAAGCTTTGACTTTACACTTCGGCCATTTAAAGTTTCTTCCGAGAATTGATATTTCATCTTTGTTACAATTTGCCCCAATCCAAAAGGCTTTTGTTTTTTTGTCATTAAGTTTTAAGCCAGAGACTTCATAAAAATCGTCCAGTGTTTTGAGAGAGGCTATTAACGATTCCTTTGTTCCATCTAGTATAAGAGTTGTATCGTCTGCATACTGACTTAGTTTTATTTCTTTACCGTTTACAAAGATCCCTTTAATACTTTTATTTTCACGAATTGCCTTAGCTAAAACTTCTACTGCCAGAACAAACAGATAAGGTGAAAGGGGACAGCCTTGCCTTACACCTTTTTGGATTTCAAAAAAATCGCTCGCCCAACCATTATTCAAAACGCAGCTTTCTGGGCAGCAATAGAAAAGGTTTAGCCATTTTAAGATGCTACTACCAAAACCAAAATGTTGAAAGGTTTTCCTTTTCTTCCTTGAAGACTTGAATACTTTGCGAGGGTGCAGAACCGAAACGTTTAGCAAATAGAATTTTGCTAAGAGCGGCTTGAACGGCACTGGAAACGGTGCTGAAAATGCACTAAAAATGGCTCGGAAGAACTCTATCTTTGCAGCCTGCACTTGTTTCCGTATGCCAGAGGTACAATGAGGATCTAGTTCCTAAGTCCCATAACGCGAGAGAACGGCAGGTGTACTGGACACTTCTTCTGGAACACAGCAAACTTCGTTAATCATGAATAAATT